GAAGGACATTCATTCATGCAGCCAAAAAATGTCCGCTGAGATCCTAGGATGGGTTAGACCCTCGGACATGAGGATTTGAGGAAATCCAGCACAATAAGCTCAAGGATAGATTCTTAGATACGGGCACCAGTTGAGACATTAGCAGAGGCTCAGAGGGGTTAGGAGACTCACTGAGACAGAAGGCATAGCGGAGCCCTGTCCACGATCCTCTTGGCTCCACCATCGTGAAGACAGCTCTTATGTCCGCCATACATGGTCTGAAATAGGACAGGGATAACAAGCACTGTCCTCCCTTTTCTCACAAGAGGTTCTGAGGCTTGACATTCAGAAAAGGTTATTCTGCTGCAAGGAGAACCTGGGAGGACTCTCCCCCGGTGTCCGCAGGGCACTGTAGTCCCCACCCTCAATCACCACCTTCCAGAGCCTTCCCTCCTGAACACAGCCACTCCTAGACAGCACATCTTCCAGTCTTTTCTTTCAGAGGACATCATCAGAGGACATGAAGCCAAGCCCCCCTCCCACCCCTACATCATGTTTGTTCAGTTTCTGCTTTAGAACAAAAAGAGGTGTCACGGTGTCCTTGTGCAAGAGGACTTTGTTCTGATGGCTGCTCACTGCCGGGGAAGGTGAGGGGCCGCAGAAAACTGACACCTCCTGAGACCCCTGCGGGGACCCCGTCCTCTGCAAAGGGGCCACAGCCCAGGGGAGCTCCCTCAGTTCCTGGTAACTCAAGGCCATGAGAGCTCACGACAGGAGCCATCTGAGAGCATGACTGGTCCATGTTGAAAATGTCATAATTTTTCCCAGAATATTTAACATTGTAGTGATTTAGATGTCACACAAGTTTATGAAGCAGGAGTTTTGTTCCAAGTATGTAGCTGGGAAATTTTCCACGTGACTAGTGCCTGCATGATTGACCAGTTTGACAATATTTCCTGTTCCAGATAAACACCCTAAACCTTAGATTACAATAAATAATATTGTGGGGTAGGAAGGCGGTTAACAATTATCCTTTGGGTCAATAAAGGTGAAGAGGAAAGTTGGCATGGATAAGAAGACTTGAAATAGAAGGCACTCCCTACCCCAGAGTGATAAATTTAACTTTTCTGTATCTCCCAGAATAACGTTTTGGGGAGTTCAGTCACACAGCCACACTGTCATGCAGAGAGGAGGTGAGTGCCCCGCCTACGAGTAGAAGGTCTGAGAGCAAGCTGCTCTGCTGCCTCCTCTCTGCCATGTGTTCCCAGGGCAGCCTCGTCTGTCAGATGCTGCTTCTGAGGCAGGTGCTGCCAACAGCGTGCTGCACGTGGACTTCCTTACATCACCTTTGAAGTGGAGGGAGAAAGCTACATTACCATGGGCCGTGGGGGCCACAGGCCTGAGCAGGCCAGTCCTCCTTATGGTTTCTTTAGTGTGCAGACTTTTTTTTTCCACTTAGGCAAATAAATTAGTATTTTCCTTTTTGGTTTGTGCCCTTTGCATCTCATTAAGGAAACATCGCTACCTTACGAACAGAAGTATAGTCTACCTTTTCTTTTACACTTTCAAAAATTTGTTTCTTACATGCAGGTATCTAATAATCTTTAATTTCTATTTGGTGATGGTATGATTTAGGGATGCAACTGAATTTTTCCCCACATGAATACCTGCTTGTTCAGCACCATTGATCAGGGTCCATCTTTTCTCTACTAATTTTTTAGGCTTCTGTAATCTATGGACTCGAAATGTGAGAAAGGTTTTTCCTGAACTTTCTGCTCTCTTCCACCTGTCTTATTTATTTTTTCTTTATTATTATAATTTTTCTTTTTGATGAGTAAGACTGGCCCTGAGCTACAATCCATTGCCAACCTTCCACTTTTCACTTGAGGAAGATTGTCTTTGAACTAACATCTGTGCCAATCTTCCTCTGTTTTGTATGTAGGGCACTGTCACAGCATGATTTGATGAACCGTGTATAGGTCTGAATCTGGGGTCTGAACCCCTGAACCCCTCCCGGTGGAAGCAGAGTGTGCAAACTTCACTGTGCCACTGGGCCAGCCCCCCATTTTTTTAACCCTTGTATAAATACTGCACTGTCCTAATAACTATAGCCTTGTAACAAATATTGATATTTGGTAAGGTAAGCCCTCATCTTATTCTTATTCAATTTTTTCTCGGGTCTTCTAGGCCTTTTAATTTTATATTTAAGTTTTAAAAACAAGTTGTTAACTTGCTTGAAACTCTCTTGGGCTTTTGATGAGAATGCTATTGCATCTGTGAGTTAATTCTGAGAGAAGTGACATCTTTAGGAATATTGAATCATGTCATCCACAGGCAAAGTATATGTCACCATTTATTTTCCTTTTCTTTTTTTAAAAACATTTTCTCCAAAACATCCTCACACCTATTATTTATTCCTAAATATCTTGGAAATTTTGTTTCTAATGTAAACAAAATACTTTTTTAAAACTATATTTTATGATTATTTGTTATAGGTGTCTAGAACCTAATTGATTTTTTTTATATTTATTGTATATCCAGCAACATTGCTCAAGTCTCTTATTAGTTTGTAGACCCTATTAGATTGTCCAATGATTTTTTTTCACTACTAAATGACACATTGATATAAAGCATACCTTGGTGCTCACAATTGTCGACACACAGGTATAAAATTTAAAAACTGCAGCATTTGAAATATATCACCTCTCTTCGTTTCTATCAATTGATGTAATTTTGACTTGTGCCTGCCATACATTTGAGCTGGCAGGGAACTTAAATTAGTTAGCCATTCTTGAGACTAACTTCACACCAGGAGCATGTCATTTAGTTCCAGGGTCTGAAACACAGCCAAAGCCTGGGTCTTGGAGACCTCTCTCTGGTCACATGTCATCAGTACAGTCAGTTTGCTGCTGACACATGGCTCTCTCTGTGCAGTCTCCTCCCATCCCCTGGGTCTCTGCAGCATTCACACCCATTAATGACTTCCTCTGGAAGGTGTGATAGGAGGGTGAATCCAAGAGAAGGCTTCATCAGAGCATCAGTGGCTATTCTGCAGCCAGAAAATCAGATTGGAAGTAAGACATTGTGATGGAGAGAGAGCAAACTAGTAAAAGGAAGAGTGAGGGAGGCAGAAGTCTTCAATCTTATCATACCATAGTCATACATCATAAGTAGAACTCCTCCAGTCATGAAAGGAAGGGATAAAAGGCGAAAGAGAAGTTGCCCTTTGAAAAATCTCTCCTAGAAACACTGTCAGTGACTTTCATGAGCTAGAATTGTGTCACCTGTAAACCTCTACATACAAATGAGTGGGAGGGTGAGTATGTGTAGCTGGGTACATTACCGCTCTGAGAAAAACTGGAGTTCTTCAGTGAGGAAGAAGGGAAGATGGATATGGGGCAGGTGACTAGCAATGTCAGCGACAAAAAAAGTCCTCCATTTTAAAATTGGGGGCACTGAGACTCACAGCCTTCTCCACAAATGTGAGCCAGGAAGTCCTTGGGACTGCTTAAGGGCTCATAATAAAACTCATCTCCTAAGGCAGGCAAGTATGGACTCCGGAGTAAAATTGCATGCTCAGATTTGCACCCTGTATGAAACGGGACACTGCTACAGTTTGGAGCTGTAAGAGGTGTTTTGGTGTGGTGGTTTTGTCACCAGGGAGGAGACTCATGTGTCTAGACCTGAGGTTGTGCACAGGAAGAAATCTGCCCACCCAACGCACCAAGTCCTCGGGTGGTGACAGCTGAAGAGTTAGTGGAAAAAGCCACAAGGCTGTCATCTTACTTCTTCACCACAGTGTCTTAAACATCTCTAGTCTTATGGTGTCTCCCCAGCCAATGATAGACAGCCTGCTCTGAGACCACCAGGAGGTTGTTTTCATTGGGTGAGGGACATGGGGCAGAGATCTCTCTTGATTACTTGCCGGGGCAGAGTTGGCTGTCCACCTTGGACTGCAGCAGGAGTTTTTTCCCTCAGAATCTCAGGAAGTAGGTCCAAGCAGTGGCAAGTTTCCATGGCCCTCAGACCCACCACCTCACCACCTTCTCCTTCATTCCTTGACCTGACGTTTCTTGTTAATGGCCTGGCCACCTGTGGGGGTCCAGGTGAGCTATGTAACCTTCTGTCTGAGACTTTTCTTTCCGAATTTAACTCTGAAAGCTGCTCAAGGATACTCTCAATGCAAGAAAATCACTCAAGACTAATCTCCCTCACGACCTCCCCTAGGAGGTGCAGGAGATCTGAACTTGTCCTGAGTTGAGGGCAGCTCTAAGAGGACCAGAAGACAGTCACCATGTGGCTGGTGCAGAGAAGGGTCAGGGGGGCTTGTAATTCACAAGGATACATGCAACACATTACGTTTTCCCCAAAGCAACTTTGACTTGGATGAAGATCTTCCATGTAGTGGGTGCACATTCTATAGTCAGGCAGCTAAGTGTGAATCCTGGTTCCACCACCAGCTAAAAACAACCATGGAAATGTTCCTTAACCTGGCTGTGCCTTGGTGTTCTCAACTGTAAAAGAATGATAAGAATGCTACAGCCTCTGGGATTGTTATAGGATTGAATGAGTTCAGATAAAGCACTTAAAACAGTACCTGATGAAGAATAGGTGCTCTATAAACATCATCTGCTCATCATTATCCCATTCCTATGGCACAAGGCCCTCAATAGCTCACAGCTCCCACCTCACTGAGGTGCTGATTCCCCCAGAGTTTCTCTAAGAAGAGAAAGCTGGACTGGACCATAAAACAGGAGGGAGAGCTTGTTTGCTTCAGAAGGTAATACTCCCGATCCGTCAACCCATATCTCTTCTTCACACATTCAAGCACACTCCATATACAATCTCACGTACACAATCTCGATGGAGGCATGAGAGAAAATGGAGAAAAGGAAAGGAAAAAAAGAGGATTCAAAGGAAAGGGAGTCTTTTCACACAGGAGGAGTGCAGAATTTCTTCAGGATCACATTCCAGGGGAGGTGATGGTCGCCTTCTTTCTTCATGTCCCCTTTTCTCCACCTTGCTTTGCCCTAAAAAGATATCACTTTCCTCTCATGTGGATTATCTCTGATTAATGCTTTATTTATTTTCTACTGCTGTGTAACAAACTGCTACAAATTTAGCAACTTAAAATAACATCCATTTGTTATCTCATAGTTCTGTAGATCAGATGTCTGGGCAGGCTTAGCTGGGTTCCTGCTCAAGGTCTCTGGAAGCCAAAGTCAAGATGTCAGGCAGGCTGGGCTCTCATCTGGAGTATCTGGAGGAGATCAGCTGCCAGGCTTATTCAGGATGTTGACAAGACTCAGTTACTGGCAGTTGTAGCACTGAGGGTCCCATCTCCTTGCTGGCTATTATCAAGGGGCAGCTCTCAGCTTCCAGAGGCTAGATCAGTCCTTGCCACATGGGACCCTCAATCTTTAAGCCAGGATCAAATCCTCCTCAGACTTGGAGTTTCCATAACTTAATCCTCTGTAACCAGCTAGAGACAAGTCTATGGTGTTGAAGGGCTCATGTGATTATGTTAGGCCCACCAAGATCATCTCTTTTATACCATACATAGTCATGGAAGTGATATCTCATTATATTCACGGATTCTAACCACACTCAAAGGCGAGGAGACGACACAAGGGTGAGAGTCACTGGCACTAATTTTAGGATTCTGCCTACCACAAGTGCTATGATTTTCAGCAGTAACAGTGACAGAGCTTTTAAATGAACTGAGGGAGAAAAATGGGGCAGGGATAGTTCAGGGTCATCTGAAGAGTTACATTTGGGAAATCTCCCTCCTGGGACATTAAACTTTTTCTATATCAAGTTCAAAATCACCTCAAGGGCACAGACACTCACGAAACATGAACACTAACCCAATTAGAAGGCACATGGGCCTTGATAGAAGCAAGAACAGGTTCCCGAGCAGGCAGAACTGTGAGCAGGCCCAGGGGGACATAAGCCAACACTCACCTGGTTCTGACCTGGGAGGTCATGACACAGAAGCCCCAGGCCTTAGAGATCATGAGATATCAGCAGAAGATCAGGACATCCAATAGACATTCAATGGGTTCAGAAAAGGAATATTTTCTTCTCCGTGGGCTTCGCTAGGAAATTTGAAGACTGGCTCAGCCTCCAATGGGAAGGAAAAGTCTAGGTCAGTGGGAGGCAAAGAGGAGGGACTTAATAGTTAGAGAAGAGACTAAACCCAGCGATCTGAGGCTGTCAACTGAGCATTCCAGCTGAGACCTTATCCACCAGTTGGAGGGGCCCAAGAGAAGGGTCAGTTCCCCTTTAGTAAAGAGCTGAATTCAGACACACCAGGACTTAGACATCTGAGCTACTCACATTGTAGACAGTAGCCAATATATTTACTAATTATAATAATGTATACAACAGATTTCAGCAAAGTGCCTCGTTCTAACTCAGCAAGCACATTTTGATAATTTTCTGACAGAAGGAAGTAAACGGTCTTGAAGAAGGAAGGAGCAGAGCTGTCAAGCTCAGCCAGAGGAGCTGGGCTTCCCTAGAAGGCTGCCCAGAGCAGCGGCTGCTCCACACGCCAGGTGTTTGCCCTTGGAGGCGGAAGGTGAGTCAGAACTCAGGGGCCCCAGCCCCTCCCTGCTTGTGTAGGGTCTGTTATCTCACTGGTCCTCACTATATTTTTCTTCTCCTGTTGTCTTTATTGTCAGAAGCAAATAATGGAAGAAAATGAAGAGCTTTTGTTCCCAGCCAGTGCAGTACTCAGGTTTAGAAACCACGGAGGAAGTCTGGACTCCATCTGAGCTAAACTGTGAGCTGCCTGGGTTTTGAAACAATGAGGGGAGCAGGAGTAAGCTGGTCATTCTTCGTTTTGTCTGTTTTTAAACTTTAAAAAAGTAGTTTATCCTATACCAGCACTCTGCAAACTGTTTATTATTTAACATTTAAAAAATTAATTGCATTCTTTTAAAAAGAAATATATTTGCTTGGTGTAAAATTTAGGTTTCAAAAGCATTAAAAAGTAAAACTACTCCTTTCACCTCTGACTCCTTAGTCATCCTGTTTCCCTCCCTGGAAGAAACAAATCAATGATATATTTTGGGGATTTTTCCATGTTGATACACGGAAGTATAATTCATTCATTTTAAGGGACGCATATATTCCAATGCATGCAATTAACACAATTTATTTATCCATTCTTAGGAAATTTAGGCTTTTTCCAATCTTTTGCTAATAGGAAAAGGTTGCAATGAGCATTCTGTGATGTGAATTTCTCTAGGGATGTGAGGATATATCCTTGAAGTGGAAAGGCTGGGTTAGAGAGTGTATGTACCTTCGCTTGTCTTGGAAATTGCTCAGTTGCTTCACAAAGTTATTGTTCCAGTTAACGCTGCCAACAATACTTAGTATTACAAAGCTTAATAATTTGTGTTAGTCTACTAGGTGTGAAGCGCTGAATCACTGTGGTTTTATTAGCATTGCCTGACCACGAAATCGTCTTTTCAAATATTTCTTAGCCATTCGAGTTTGCTCTTCTGTCAGTTGTTTGTTGTATCACTTTCACATTTACATTTCATTGTTTTCCTTAAGGATTTTCAAGACTTCTTGATATATTCTAGATGCTATTTTTCAACAGATCACTGTAAATATTGTCTCCCAATCCATAGTTGTTTTATGCATTACGCTGTTGCCTTTGGTTAAACAGAAGATTTGCATTTTCAAGTAGTCCAGTTTACTCGTTTCTGTCTATTGCCTTTGAATTCCACATATTTTCTGGAAAATAGAAGAAATTAACTTTTTTCAAAACTCCTCATTATTTCTCATAATGCTCGGGTACTCCAGAACCTCTGGGTGTGTGGTCATCTCAAGATAATTACTCGGACATATCAAAGAATACTTTCCATCTTCAACTGTACATTTGCAGGACTGGTAAATATGACTGCCTCAGGAAGGTCTTTCCTATCTCTTGAAAAGGGCAGGTTAACCTGTCATGTTCTCTTATAGTTGTTTTTCCTTCAGAGCACTTGCTGCCGTTCATAATCATATACGTGTATGCACACTTGGCTAAAGTATGACTCACCCCTTGAGATTAGAAACTAAATCTGTCAGTGCTACTGTCTGATTCCCTGGCCTTTGTAGAGTACCACACACAGAGAAAGTACCCAACGTATCTTTTCAAATGAGAGAATTGCCCGGACTTGGACATTCCATCTCCATCTCTTTTATATAAAACCTTTCACTTAGGGAGTTTTTCTCCAGTGGTCCTATGAGTTGGCCGGCTTCCCCATATCGGCTCAAACAATGGAAAGGTTCAGAATTTGCAGGAAGTTGCATCTCTATTTTTGCTCGAAGGCCCACCGTGGTTTTCTCTTTATGAGGTTACCTAGTGGCAAGTGTGAAGAATCAACAGCTCTTCCGACACAGCAGATCTTAGACGGGTGATTTGTGGTGACAGCAGACAACTGCAAGTTTATGGTTATTGGCTAATCAAAAGGAGTTCTCAGCCTTAATTCATCCCCCAAGCATTTTGCATTTTTGCAATGACAGATTTTCAGGGGACAATTTTATTCTTATTAAATTTAGGGCATTGAAAGTAGTGTCAAGGTTACATTATGACTGATTAGGCCACGTTGGAATGTCTGCCTTCCATCTGGATGCCATGGCACAGGGTTAGCACATATGCACCCCACTCACAATGCTCTATTGTCTGCCTGACACAGGTTTTCCTGAGTATATCATATACCGTCCTCTCCTGAGTCAGGCTAGAGCTTGCTTTGGAAGTGAGAATTCAGATGAGAATATTGCCGTGGCACATCAGGTGTGGGGCATACAGTCGTTTTATATAATGAAGGAAAGATGAGAATGGAAATCACTTAGGAAAGAGGAAGTTCACTGGAATTCCAAATGACAAAATTCCGTCTTTATATAAAAAGTGAATACCAAGATTACACAATTGGTCTTCACTTCTAGAATGTCACGTTCCTGGAAATGAAACTTAGTGGTGGAAGGTGGTGATTTACAAGAAGGGGGCTGCACATCACACCATCTAAAAGCCATCCAAAAAAGGCAAAGAAGATGAGAGCAAATGCCAGAAGTGAAATATCTATAGAGAAACAGAAAAAGTCATAGATCATGTTTTTGTTGCACGGATTGAAAAAAATGTGAAAATGTGCTAATTTTTGACTAGTCAGTTTTAAGAGATTCGTCCAAGCCTGGTACTCTGGAGATCCCAAGAAGCTCCTGGAAAGTCATTCTGCTTTCCAGCACTGATTCTTCAAGAGTCTTCTGAGTACCTACCAAATAATTTATAAACTATCACTTTGTTTCTCACCACTCTCTCCTTACTACTCCACATCCATCTCCTCTTAAAGTCCACATCTTCTCTGTTTTGCATCATGTCTTATCATCTCCATCATTTTTGACAACATTCAATAAAGCTCTCCATGTGCACTGCCCCCAAGGTTGTCATCAAGCAGCCACAGCGCACATCCAGTTATTCTTTGGTTGTTTTAGTCACTCTCTGGTTAGACAATCACACAACTGTAAAACAGGAAGAATGAAGTATGTGGAAGAGTGGAGGAAAATACAACCACTTTTGAGGCCAATAATTTTTTTCTGGTGACTTTGTAGGACTGAGCCCCAACTCTTCCTTTGTTACTAAAGTAATTGCTAATATAGACGTCTCATTTTCCCCACAAGATGCTTGCCTTCAGAAGGCCCAAGTAAACATCCTTCCCTCAGTGAGGCTGAGAATCTCAGAATGCTCTTTGTAAGGCTGCCATGCTGGCTTTACTCTACCTAACAAAGGAGTTAGGTGAAATTTCTGGTTCGTTTCCCAGTAAATCCTTGTAAAAGGAATAAGAAAAGGCCTTCCATCATAAACCCTGGTTAAGTGAGAGGGTAGAAATATCCCAATGCTGCAACAAGGGAATCCCATGTGAAGAAAAGATTGTAATGGAAGGATATCCAGGAGGATTATTTTGTTTGTAACTTATGAGAAGATGTCTTCTGAACTTGAACTTCCAGCTTGAGATACAAGGAAGAAATGCCAAAAATGCTACTTTCCCATTTTGTTCTGTTGTAAGTCCTATAGAAAGCACAGCCTGAAGCAAAGATTATGGTGGGAACCATTTATTTGGGTGGTGCAAGGCTGACAATGACAGTGCAGAAAAAGGATTAAGTCAAGGAAAGATTCCATGCAATGTGATATGTGACATTATCTCAGTTGGCCACTACTTCACAGCAAGCTGCTAAGAAAGAAAGCAAGTTTCTCAGCAAGCTTCATCAGAACATGGAAGTTCTCCAGAACAATTGCAAGGTGTGTCACAGGAGGAGAGGAGCATTCAATGTCTGAAACAAAATCTGAATTAATTGCTTGCTACGAGAGAGCTGCATTTGTAAAGAACAGTGTCTCTGAACCAAGCAAGAGCAAATCTTGTATAGGATTTGGAAGTGTGAAATCCAGAAATTGGTGAGCTTTCAGCAGTGTGAATGTTTTGGCATTTGCTGTCTTTTCGTCTGTGGTACAATGGACATTGGGATGAGGTTGTAGCCAGCTGGCTGATATGATCTGGCTCCTCACTTGTCCTTCGGGGAACCAAGTTTCCCGCCTCATGGAACTTGCTGTTTCATTCAAGCCCAAAACTGGAGGGGCAACTAGTAGAGATGGGGCATCAACTGAGAGGAAGAAAGAAGAGAGAGAGAAAGAGAGACAGAGAGAGAGAGAGAAAGAGAGAGAGAAAGAGTGCACCCAGCTGGTTTAATCATGAAAGGAAAAGGGGCTTTATCAGTAAGTTAGAGAGTGACTGAGAGAGTCTGGTCCTGGCCAGTAAGGACGAAGGAACAAACTCTTCCTGGGGAGAGGGCCTAAAGGGGGTCATCCACAGGGAACAATATCCCAGAATAACTGGGAATATCACTTCTTCCTTCTCAGTTTTTCTTAAAAATGAACAGATCCTTTGAGCCCAAGCTGCTACCCCCACACTGTATCCAACAGTTTCTGACTCTTGTTGCCCAAAACCTGGAGAAGCCAAAGCTTTTTCCCCCTCCAGCTCAGTGAGGGACCATCACAAGGACCTCTCTCTCTCCTGGACCCACTACTTAGCAGTGGGTTGCAGGTGTGCCCTCTCAGGGCAGGAGAGGAGCTCGGCCTCTGTGCCCTGATGATCTTCCCTGAACAAGAGAACCCAGGGCCCCAAATATGGGAACAACAGGAGAGTCAGAGCACCAGGCCCAGGGAAGGGGCATTAAAGGTAGAAAAAGAGCCAGCAGGGCTCCTCCATTCCAGCCCAGCCCTGCTCCCTCCCTCAGATCTACTCTTCATATTCTCCCCCTTGAATCTCCATAGACTTCCTGAAAGGATCCCACTTGGGGTCATTCCCAGACTCAAGCCTGCCCAAGGGAAAGAGCTGGGAGAACACCAGAGTCGCACACTGCATGCAAAGCATCCGAGAGTGAAGGGCTTTCTCACAGTCTTGGGGAAAGGATGGAAACCTTGGTTATCTTACTAGACTAGGGGTTGGTTAAATGGTTTCTGTAGGTTTTACAGATACCATTTGTTAGACTCAGGAAATTTCTTTCTGTTTTGGTCTGATAACAGGTTATCTTTGTTATCATGAGTGGATGTTGATTTTTATCAAATGCCTTTCTGTCTAGTGAGATGATATGATTTTTCTCTTAGATCTGTTTGTGTGGCAAATTGCATTAGTCGATCTTTCTAAGTTTAAATGAGACCTACACTATTGGTATAAACTTCACTTGCCTGTGATGCTTTAACCTTTCTATGTATTGTTGGACTAGTTTTGAGAGTTGATATTGTTTAGGGTTTTGTGTCTATGAATCACGCATGAG